GCTGATGCCATCGCACTCTATCCAAGGCCACAGAGTGAGACTCTGTCTCAAAAAAAATAAAAGTTACGATCCGCATATCTGAAATGACATTTTAGATGCTCCTCACAGACTTAAAACAGAGCTACCCTTTCTAATTGCCCAATATCATGTGGGAAGCTTTGTCTGTCACTTGGGTGGTGGCCATCAAACTTGATTAACCTTTTAACCACTGTGACAAGCCTTGTAGATAAAATAAATCATTGAACTATTCAGTGACTATTTATTGAACACTTACTGTGTACAAGGAAATGTTTGAGGCACTGAGGATAAAGCAGTGAACAAAATGTATAAAAACCTTTGTTGTCATGCAACTTATATTTTGTGCAGAAAAAAAATAAAAGACAGCAGAAAATGAGCATGATCTGGGAAATTTTTTAGAAAAAAAATCAATTTTAAAAAGGCAAGAAAAGGGGCTGGATGAGGTGGCTCACACCTGTAATCCTAACACTCTGGGAGGCTGAGGCGGGTGGATTGCTTGAGCTCAGGAGTTTGAGACCAACCAGCCTGAGCAAGAGTGAGACCCCATGTCTACTAAAAATAAAAAAACTAGCTGGGCAGGAGGCTAAGACAAGAGGATACCTTGAGCCCAAGAATTTGAGGTTGCTGTGAGCTATGATGATGCCAGGGCCCTCTACCCAGGGTGACAGAGTGAGACTGTCTCGAAAAGAAAGAAAGAGGGGGAGGGAGGAAGAGAAGGAGGGAGGGAGTCTTGCAATATGTAGCTTTAAAGCTCTGCTGTCTGCTTCTTGTAGATACTGTGGATTCAGCTTCTTAACAGTGGAAATGGCATTAGTACAATTTCCAAAGCAATTAACTGCTTCTTCATGAGGCAAACATACCCACAAGACCCAGGATGCAGGTTGTAGCTTTAGTTTGCATGTAGAATGTACATATGGAAATACTCGGGATTTCTTTGTTTTTCCTGTTGTTTGGGCAAAGGGAGGGCAGGATTAATTTATGTTTCTTTTTTTTTTTTTTTTGAGACAGTCATACTATGTTGCTCTCAGTAGAGTGCCATGATGTTATAGCTCACAGCAACCTCAAACTCCTGGGCTCAAGTGATTCTCTGATCTCAGCCTCCCATGTGGCTGGGATTACAGGCACCTGCCACAGTGCCTGGCTATTTTTAGTGCCTGGGGTCTTGCTGTTGTTCAGGCTGGTCTCGAAACCCTGAGCTCAAGCTATCTGCCCATCTTGGCCTCCGGAGTGCTAGGATTACACGCATGAGCCACTGTGCCTGGCCTAATTTATGTTTCTCATTCGCTGGAGGTAATAGGGAAATACCATCCAGAAAAAACAAATGAAATTTAAAAGTCAGCCTCTGGATTATATAGCCCTGGCTAGCAGAATTCTTACAGAGAATTTCTAGAATGAAAGCCGATGTGAAGATGGTCCCTTCAGATCTACACTCAGAGATAATCTTGCCATATTTCCACTCATCCAGCTTTCAAAGTGTTGGAATATTAATGCATTTTTAAAAAGCCTCCTGCACTAAATAATTATTGCAAAAATAAATTTATGTGAGTTGTCAGAAAAAAAACAAAACAAAGTGTTGGAATATAATTGGCCAACTGCAGTAGCCTTTACTGTGTTCTGCCTGTTCTTTTTTTCAGAGATGCCATAACCAAAATGAAAGATGTCTACCTAAAGAATCCTCAAATGGGAGACCCAGCCAGCTTGGATCACAAATTAGCAGAAGTCAACCACAATATAGAAAAACTCAGATTAGAGACCCAGAAGTTTGAGGTATGAGAACTCTTCTTGAAAAGCTTTGTTGGAAA